CCAATTCCTTTTCAGTTTCTGTCCTTTTTGGTATGCCTCCTCCATTCTCTACCCTGTCTCTCTTTCAACCATTTCCCGTAATTAGTTTTTCTTTGTGTCTATCTCCAGGTGACAGCTGGCTGGATATCACAGCTCAGGATTTGGAGCGTATGTTGCAGGAGAGGAGCGGGGAGAGAGCTGTTGCTGGCAGCAAAAACTCCACTTCCACCAAACAGACAGACCATGTCGGCAGTGCAGAGGAGAGGAGGAAGGAGATGGAGGGCGGCAAGGAGGAAAAGGAGGCCGGTTACAGCCTGGTGGCAGTCAGTCAGGGGATGAAGAACTTCCTCCATGCCGTGTCGTCTCATGAGGGTGCTGAACTGCCCTGGTGAGACTATCTGGCCACCAAGCCTGATTCATTTTAACAGTATTTAACCGAGATCATCAAAGGCACGTTTGGGTTACTGAATAAAATGACTTAGGATCGTTTGTGTATTTATTTTCCATATGATAGTAAAAGGTAATGAACAGAAAAACTCACCCACACATGTTGGAGTACAGTTGACATTTTAATGTCTAGTTGGGTGTAACACATGCATAATTTTCTCTTCATGGTCTCCCCCTGCTGCTGCATTCACACTCTTGCCCGTTAGGCTAAAGTATTTATATGTGCATTGTCCCACCAACAGTTTTTCATTCCAGGTTTTACATTGTTTTACTTTATTCCAGGAGCAGTTCAACTCAGCCTTTCAGTTTTGACCCTGACTCCATGGCCAACGCAGTGGACAGACTGCTCGGTATGTAGAAGTTATGAAGTTAGAAAAAAACAACTAGCAAAAACTCCCCACATCTTCCTCTCTTTACTGAATCTGTCACATTTTTTATAGGAAACAACGAAGAAGAGCTAGATTCAGATGATCTAGATGATGATGATGATGATGATGAGGAAGAGAAAGAAGAGGGGTCCTCTGGTCACGCAGAGATGAACGGGACAGAAACTTTGGACGGTCTCAGGGGATACATGGACCAAATGGATGAGGAGTTGATGAGCACTAATATAGGACAAAGCTTCAATGTGACGGTAAAATACACCCTCTAGGTGAAATAATTCACTCGTCATCCTGAATGTAGTTACAAAACTTCTTCTTCTACATTTGTCCTTTCTGCAGAATGTCAACAAGACAGGCTTGGGCAATGGCTCCAATCATCTCTCAGCCACAGACGATCTCCCTGCACATGGAGGGGTTGAAGAGACCGAGGAGGAGATCCAGCCTCTTGACGTCGACCTCAATCTGGTCACAAACCTGCTGGAGTCCCTCAGCTGCCAGGCCGGACTGGCCGGACCAGCTTCTAACCTGCTGCAGAGTCTTGGTATACACCTACCACCCAACTCTGATCCCTCATAAAGGACAAGAAGTAGACACAGATAGCGAATGAGGCAACAAATGGCCGGTTCAAACATGCATCAAGGACCAGCATCTACAGCTGAGGAGGTTTCTCTTGAAGCTGGTAGCAGAATGCCTTTATTACACTGACAGTACTTCTGTTTGTAAAGCACTCGTGGAGTTTGATGATGTCCCGTAGCGCTTTTATTGTAAACAAACATGGATTTGTTTACAGTTAATGTTTCTCATTGAAACTTAATATGTGCACTGTAAAAACTGTATTCTTCAGGAAAGAAAAACACGTTGGGTGCATTTCCTGTATCATAAAACAAATCTTTTTGAATGTGTTTAAACATGCATTGTTTGTAGTTTACAGTTAATAATAAATACACAATACAGAGAAAGGAAAGAAAGCTCATACATGTGCACAAGATAAACCCAAAATATCACTGATTGGAAAAAAAACACAAAATATCAATTTTAAAATTAATTAAAATTATTATAATAAAAAAATATTATCATAATGTAAGAATACAATTATTAAGATTTTTTGGTCCATATTAGCCTGGAAATTGCTAAATTAAATTTTCGATATGTCCCCATCAACTATGTATGATGGAGAGAGCACATTTTAGCTTCAAAGCCCAAGGCAGGATGAAGCAGGACTACTACAGAACTCACTCACTGAACTCTGTTTGATTGAAATCACTGTGTACTAGAAGTGCAACGTATAACTTAACCATTTAGATTTTTGATACAAGCTGCTTTGTGTGATGTCGGTATGTGTTCACCGTTTGTGGTTTTGGACAGCACTTGCATTTGGTTGTTAAAAAAAAGAATAAATATTTTCAGAAATAAAGTCGGTGTCATTTCAGTTTATTAAATGCATACAGATTCTCTTTGGTGCACCATCATCAGGTAGTTCAACATTTTTATCACTGTGCTTGTTTAAAGGCCCCCTCCACTCAAAACTATGTTGTTCTTCTTGTTCCTACAGTTGGATGTGCAGAGTTTCACTGTGCATGTATGTGCAGAGTTTGACTCTAGAAGGAGGTTTTCTCGGTCATCTGCTGAAAGTGGAAAAGTTCTCTGATTTTAAAGGGTGGAGCCAATGTGCATATTCATAGATTCTTGATTTTCTAATGAGGTAGAAGATTCCTTTTTAAGGATTTTAATGTTAAAATCATACTTTTCTGTGCAGCAGGAAAAACAAATAAGACACATTGTTCCAAGCAGACTATTTGTATACAGTATGTGTCTAATACATGCCTGGAGGGGACCTTTAAGCATGTGAAATAGTAAGATATTCAATGTAACACATATACATACATCAACGCTAATTAAATAATAATAAAAGCATATTCTTACATTACAGCACAATGTAATTTTGATAATAACTTTATGTAGAAATGAGTGTCACTATCCCTTCTCATCTGATAAACCTTAGCGGTCAGATTCATTCAAGGGCAATGTCCACAAACCTGATTAGTGTTTTAGTCTTTGTATAGAGTCTTTGTTTAAATGTTAAGTAAACATTACAAGTATGAACAACCCAGTCTTCATCATTATCCCTTCTCATCTGAAAAAAATGTCAGAATCATTCAAGGACAACTTCCACAGAACTTTATCATCTAATTCATCCAATAAAACATGAAAGTTTAAACCTCTTAAATACTGATGAGTCGATTATGTCGCATATACTATAGTGTTGGGTCTAACACTGTGTCCACTATCACTGTAAAAAAATGTACAATTCTCCTCAGATTTACTCATGAATATACATTAGATTAAAATATTCTTGACATTTGCTCTATATTACTCTCACCTTTAGCTCTAAGAGAAAGCCAGTATTGTTTGACCCATGCTGCTTATTAGTACTTGTTTCATTGTCGAAGAGCTGGTCTTGCTGTCTCATAAAGGCCACAGGTCTGTCTATCATTGTTGTTAAAAAGTACCTAATGTTCTCCACCCAACTGGAACAAGGAGATAATTATGTGGTTGGGTCTTTAAATGATTTGGATATACTGAGCCCAGTCCTTTAGAGATGCTGGTTCTCAATTGCTTAAAAAAGAATATATGTATTGAGGCCATATGCAGTGCATGTGTTAGTAGTTATAATAAATATGTGAGTAATCTAAATGTCTTAATGTATGTCATTTTCAAACCACATAATCTTAATAAAGTAGTTCTGATCTGACCTGGATATTCTGGGGAACTGAACTGTACACATCAAACGTATTCACTGTACATATTTTCACATTTATGCGTTTTTGTGTGCGTTGTCGTTATGGTTTAGGCATCCGTTTGCTTGTTTTCTTTTCTCTATTCTTTTTGCACTGGAACTGAGCTACCATGCTGTATCAAAACAATTACTACCAACACTGTTGCATGGCAATAAAAAAAACTTTTGGACTCGACTGTAAATCATTAGCTTTTTATATGTTTGCAATATGCTATCATGGTTGCAGTTACTTGAATGCAGGTTGCTTTTCTGCTGACACTGTCAACTGACTGTATTATAATATTATTATTTGATCATATTATGTAAGGAAAAGTGACTCAGTAGCACAAGTTATGTTACTGTGAACGGAAGAAACAAAGTTGTACTTGTTTTTCTCCAAAGAATAAAATGGCATTGTGGTCAATGATGTGCATTAAAATACACTAGTATAGTACTATACTAGTAACACTACAGAACAGTCATCATTTTTCTTAGTCCTTTCAAAACTACAAAAGGTGTAAAAGCGGCTGTCCCATTTGCTTCGCTGAGTGTAGCACTGCAGCCGCTAGCGGGGAGACACACAGAGCTGATATACCGACCAGGAAGTTCAGTACCATCCCTAGCAGGAGAATAGCGAGCAGGTATCCATGGAACAGCAGGCTGTGCCAGTTGCCGCGACTCAGCACCTGCCAGGGACTGTCCGGGTGCAGCAGCCACAGGAGGCCCAGCACCCAGCTCTGGTTGACCAGCTGGGTGTAGTAGATGTCAAAAATGGAGGCTTGGGCATCAGGGGGGTGGTGACGCTCAGCCTCAGACACCTTACCCAGCCAAGTCAGGGACAGACTGTGGAGGATTAAAGCCAGAGGTGCATACATGTACTCCAGAGGCTCGATACCTGCCAGACCCTGGGAGACTGCAGAGAGAGAGAGACAAAGAGAGATAGATAGATAGATAGATAGAGAAAGTCAATTAGAGGTCAATTTGTTCTGAGGTGAAGAACCTCAAGTTTCACCTCTAAATAACATCTATCCTTTTTACCTGTGATGACAAAAGATGTCCCACTCAGAATGGAAATCAGAACAGAGATGTGGATAGATGGTGGGGATGCCAGCTTCATGCAGACACTAAAGCCCACGGTTACTATGGGCAGCAGAGGCAGGGTGACGGGGTAGAGGCCGGCATACGAGCAGCTAGCCTTGGCCCACATTGCCATCACGCCATGGATGCTGTTACTGACAGACGGCACCAGCAACCTCTCACCCAGGGACCGGGAGTAATGCTTCAGAGGCACCAGATTCAGGACATGGAGGAGATTTAAGACTAAGAGAGAGAGCAGGACCTGGAAAAGACAATCAATATACGGAGTTACAGTATATATCAGAACTAAAGGCTCAAATACAAAGCAGTAGTATGATGATCTGACGCTAATAGCAAACCAGTCACTACAACTCACGTGGGTGACCAATATTCAGTGCAGATGGTGGAAAGCGTAGTAACTTCTGTATCTCTTGAGATTATTCGAGAGCCCCAAAAGCACCACAATTTAAATAAAATACTTTTAAACCTGTTGCTTTATTATTATTAATTATAAAATTATTCATTAGTATTTATCTAGTTAATAGTATTATTATTATTTTAGTAAGTTGTGTAGTAGTAGTAGTGGTATTATTATATTTTGACATTTATTTTAAATGTTGGACAAATGATTCAAACCAATAATGTGCTGGCATCTATTTACTTAAGATGATTAGTCAATTAAATTAGTTAGCGAAGAGATATACAATTAATTGACAACAATTTTTAATTAATGAACTATTTTTTAATTAATCAGCTTATCATTCATATCTGATCTGACAAATTGACAAGGAAAATAATTGTTGGTGGAAAATAATTGTTGGTTGCAGCCACAATCTGTATCACTACACTTTGTTTTCTAAGTTTATCAATTTATTGTGTTTTATTAGGTCATGGCTGGTGACTAAGGGACATCAGGCTTTCGCCGTCAGGGCCCCTACACTCTGGAACTCCCTGCCCAAGGAGATAAGGCTGATAAGTGAATGATATTGGGCTGCCACGCTTCAATGGTGATGGCAAGAATAGAAGTATCATGTTTAAAGTGAATTAGTGATGAGTCACCCTCTTCAAAAGTCAGTTTGCACATAATCCAAAAATAGAAATGCTTGGCAAAAATAGCATATTCCACTCCATCCAGGAAGTCAAACAGTTAATGCAAATTTGCTGAATTATTGTCTCACTGGAATCAGTTGACTTGAATTTTTAATAAACTCTTTCACTTTGTCCTGAAATTTCATTTAAAAAAAAAACTCTCAACAACCATCGCAAGAATCAAAGAAAGAAATCAGTCATTTTAAAATGTCTTTTGGAGGGGCTGATATTGTCATTATTTTAGGGACCCCCTTTGATTTTTAACAAATCATGTCTCATTAAGAGGAGCCGAGCTAGCTCCCCTGCTTATATTTTATTTTTGTTGTTTGTTTTTATCTCATTTATTTTCTCAAGCACTTAGTAACCTTGTTTAGATAAGTGCTATGCAAATAAATGTATTATTATTATTATTATTATTATTATCATTATTATTATTTGTTTTATTATGTTGAGAAGCTAGAGGCTAATAAAGTTATTTTCTATTGAATGAATGAAAAATCCTGGGCTTGCAACTTGCCAACTCCTGTGATGCACTGATATGACATCAAGCAATATGCCATGTGGACAAAATGCGACTTTAACCTCTGGACTAGAAGCATGGTAACCTGCAGTCATTCAGTCTTTACAGCCCCTTCCGGTCTCTGTACTTTGAAACTTGTAAATCGTAGTGTGTGTGTGCTACTATAGTGCAACGTCAACTGTCAGAAACGCTATCTTCAACGCACATACATTACACCCACATCAAATCACACTCAAGGTCAGTGCGCACGTTTACACAACGGAAATTCACAAAGCTCCGTTATTTCGACCTTTGGACGGGGGCACATTTACATATCAGTTCTCAGGTCAGCCATTCGGTTAAACATCTATCATGCACAAGTATTTATCAACACTGGACCCCCGCCACCACCGGCACCACTAATACTACCACATGCCCTGTCCTTCAAACTAGCACACACACACACACACACACACACACAAACACACAAACACTGACAGACTTACAAAAGCCAGCAGCCGACACTTCATTGTATAGATATGAAGTATCTATATGAAAACTGTATCAGTGATTACCAACTACCCAATAAAATTATTAAACATCTTTAATAGTCACACTTTGCTTTTACACTGACACATTATATCATCATAATTATTATTATTTGTATTATTATTATTATTATTATTACTAGTAGTAGTAGTAGTAGTAGTAGTATCACTTTTTAAATTCAGCATTTCTACATGAAGTATGTATGGGTTTAAAAAAATAAATGTTACTTTACTATGAGCATTGTATGACTTTTGTACTGTGTTGGCAGAGTATTATAGACAAATAGGAGTATGCACACACATCCAAACTGAGAAAGGCGCTAAGCTGAAAGTGAGCAAATCACGAAATGAGCATGACACAGTCTAACGTCACCTCTGTGTAACAAATAAGTGGACATTGGAGCCACGCAGTGTGTCAGCTGTTTGTTTATTTCAGAGATAAAGGTACATGTAATTGCAGTATAAGGAAAACCCCAGCTGTCAGGACTTAGTACTCTGTGTAAACTAAACAGCATGTAAGCCATAGTGTGCAGTGCTGTCACTCTTTTCCAGAATTAATAAAAATGCAGAGGTGCGGGTGGCAAGCAAACAGTGCTTTCATTTTTGATGGATTCACTCTAATTAAAATGTGAATTGTCAGCAGGCACCAACCTGGGCAAAGCAGAGAGCCACTGCATACGGGTAGTGGTACTGCGGGATGAAGATACCGGCCACAAAGTTTCGTAGTTTGTCAGCCAGTCCGTATATCACCACGACCACTAGGAAGAGGGTGGGAACCAGTGGCTTCAGTGTATGACTGGATGAAAGACTCTTTGTTACTGAGGCACACCATCCCCTCCTCCACCTCCCTGAACTGCACACAGAAACAGACAAGAATCATGCAACAACAATCACATTATTGTGTTTGTACAATTTTCCAGTTCACACAGCTGTAAATATAGTTTCTGAGAATTGCAGAAAAAATCAAAAGCTCGTCCTTTAACCAATGTTTGACATTTTTGCCAAGCTTAATGTTTTATATGCTCCCCAACTAGATAATGATTTGTGACAGATAAGCTCTTGGAAAAACAACCTTCAGGAATAACAGGTTTAAATATTTGCATGCATGCAATAAAGTTTGTCTACATAAGTATAGTTGGCTGTCATTTTACTGGTTACCAGAATAGCAGAAATAACCATTTGTAAAAGCCAGTAGGATTACCTTTTACCTAAACGACATGCTGTCATTCTGTGCAGAGGTTGCCGCTGCTGGGAGTGATGTCTAGAGTCAGTGTCGGGAGAAGAAATATTCAAATGACTATAACATCATAAACCAGTAATAAAATCAATATGGCTTCCAAATAACAGAAAGGAATACCATCTGTCAGAACACCCTCTTTTGTTATTGCTGTAGCCTACTAGATGCTGTTTAAAGGTGATCTCTAAAACTATTACAAAAAGTGTCTTATATTCAGGACTTTATTTTGCACCATTGCAAAACAGCCCCTGGCTTGTTCTTATTTGTTTAGATTACATTCCCAAATGTACAGTGTAATTTTTAATGGTACATAATACATACATGTAAATAGGGATACAAGATGTGAAGTTAGGGAATAAAGGAGTATTAATGTAAAAATAATTTTACATACAAATACATTTGGTGTTTTGGAGGAATAAAAAAAACCCACATACAGTAAGTATTTTTAACTAGCAGGTACTAATCCTATTACAAGCACGCCCATCTCTGACCATCGCAAACAAGTGTCCAACATCCGTGTTTGCTGGTGAAGTGAGTGGCAACGTTGTAGAGATGTTTGCATAGATAATGCACCCAAATGGGGTTAAGGTTTGGAGTTTACCTTTAGAAGAGACATGCTGAGTTTGAAAGTTATGAAACAACCCATTGCTCATCCATATTTATATTTTCATACTATGCAAAGACTGTAAAGTTTTTCCATTACTGTAGCATATGTGAACATCTTCTACAACTTCCTCATCATAAAAAAGCTTTTTTACTTCTTGTTTTGTTTTCCAACAACAATGACAACAGTGTAACATCAGTGTAACAGTGTTAACCCACATAAATCTGAACTACCTCAGGCTGCTGAAGTCTTACAAGTTAAATGTGTTACCTCATACTGCAGGTAGACCTACTTTACAACAACAAAAACGTATTCACTCAAATGTACAGCATTGTTGCTGAGAAGATCACATTATACCCCTTAATAACAAAATAGGTAGACTATCTGCCCTAGTAACAGTACAGAAGTAGTAACTAGCCTACCCCTTATTCCCTAACTTCACATCTTGTTCCCATCTACCTCCATGTATCACTGACTATATATAATAAATGACACATACAGTCTGTGGAGTGTGTGTAGACCTGCAAATAATTACACTGTAAACTGAGAGGATAATTTAAAGCGTTCCCTATTTTCAAATTCAGTTTTATTGATGGGTGTGTCTGCTGCAAGGCAAATGTCTCTTGATAACCCAGTTAATTATGAGTCAGGAAATGTAGGACATTATTTAAAAATCACTATGAATATAAACATGCTGAACTAATCTTATATGGGCTAAATAATAGAATATTAGAGATCTAGCCTATATCGATATTTACACCAATTAAAGTTGGTCTATGATAATAGTTATATTGCTAAAACTTATTTTTTTTAATTAAGTTGAAGACATTTCAAGAATGTAGCCTAAACAAAAAATCAGAAACAAAAATAACGGTATATAAAAGTTATGTAAGATAATAGACCCACTTTATAGCCTACATGCATTGCTTATACTAAATCTCCTTAATCTAACATCGGAAATGTCATAGCCTACTTGTAACACACAGCTGTATGCACTTATATAAATATATAGTCCTACAGTAATTAATTATTCGGATAGAAGCAGGAAACCGTGAGAAAAGCGCGAGAGAAACTTTACTCACCATATGAAATTCCTCATAAAGTCATATTTAATAATCAGACGCCAATCATCCCCTCTGCCTGGCTGTCAGTGCCATTCACTCATACGCCTACCATTATTAAAGGTTAGTAATATTATTGTCCAACGTGTCCCTGCCACCGTCCTGCTGAATGAGCCGCTCTCTTCTCTGCTGCTCTCTGCTGTGGACACTCAACTCACCTGTTTCCCTCAGATGGACTTTGGTCCTCGTCTGTTTGTCTTCCTATAATTAAAGACGCAATCTAGGTGGACAGTTATTAAAAGTCTGTTTCTCCGGAGGTAAACGGAGGTAAACAACATCTGTGGAATCCATTAGGGTATCTGTGTTTGCTCACACATTTTATTACACATAATCTGGGATAGTGAGAAGTAGCAGCCTCATTTCACCGGCTATGTTAATGTGTTATCCATCTAAAATTGATTTGACATTCCTGACTTTATTGATATGCCCTCTGCTGGTGTGGGAGTAAACCTGGCTCTGTTTTTTTCATCCCCAGCTTTAACACCTGTTTGTGACATTCCTGACACTTTTTCTTCCACAGCTTTATGTTCCCTTTCCCCTCCTCTGGCCCTTCCCTGTGGCTGCACAGCACACAGGCTCCATGAGGACATCATGGAGTCCAAGAGCCACATGGCTGCATGAATAAAGAGGGGGCTTAAGTAAATAGACTGACTGAGAGGATGGAGGTCTGGCACTGTGGAGCTCAGACAAACACAGTAGCAGCCTGCATGGGGGCCTCTGATGGATCCAGAGTATTGCAGGAACCAGTGTTAAAAAACCCAACTACCAACAATAAAATGTAAGCACACTGATATATATGATTTGTGTACACTGATATGTGGAAATACGTGTGTATATATATACACTGATATGAGTTTTATGTGTACACTGATAGGAATTATATGTGTACACTGATATGAGTGATCTGTGCACACTGATAGGCTGTATGTATTCTGGTGTGCACCTTAAATAAAATATACAATAAACTCACTCACGAGGACAGCAGGGGGCAGTCATGCTCTGTTTTGATGTTGGTAGACACATAACCTTCTCTCACAAAGCTTTGTTTGTGGGAATAACAAGTATGAAGAAAATAATGACAACAAGATATTTTTGAAAATACAGTTTTTTCAAAATGAGATATTTTTTTATTTTTCCTCAGTCATTCTCTATACCGGGTGTGGAACGCAGAATTACACTCAGGTGATTTGAGGGTCATTGTTAGCAAAATTACCAAAATACATCCTCCTTGTTAACCAGCCATCCCCTCTCTCCATCCCTACTGAGGTCACTAATAGGTGGACTGCAGTCTGGGAGCCAGACATCATCCTATCCGGACGCAGACCTATAATCGATAAATTACTGAGAATTATTACATTTTGACGGAGAGTTTATATTTGAACCTCTTATTTTATCACTTGGACAACGGAAAGTGTGGGAGTGGGGAAAGAATACCTATAAAAGGGAAAGAAAGAAAAAAAGGAGGCGTTAAAGGGGTGCCAATTGTTAATGAGATTGTTATTATAAAATTGGTTTGGATGTGAAAATGGAATTAACAAAGAGAAGAAGAAAAAGGAAACTACACATTTTGCAGTGTAACTGATGGAGGCAAAATCACACAGTCCTCCTTTCATTTAAAAATGTATGTATAAGGCTTTAGTCAGTCAAACCAGGTGGATATTTACAAAGTTATTGTCTTTTTACTACATCTATAGGGTGCCCACTCCATGCAGCTGGTGCTTTTTTTTTCTTTTTCATATTCTTTTTTTTAAAAGCCTCATTATAGCTTTTTATAAGAATGCATTTTACACAGAACAAGGACTGTGTTTTTTGTCCCCCATCACTTACACTGAACTTTAAGAATATCTTTACTGCCAGCATGAATACAAGGAACAATTACAGCTGTACATATGGGCATATGAGTGTTGTTTTAAGACCATCCTTTCATATTTTACAAACAAAACAATGCAGATCACAACAGGATTCACCGTTATTGATTAAAGTACCCAACAGTATATAAAGCAGTTAAACCTCAACCAACTACAGTATTAGTGTTGTTTATATATCGCTGTATCAGTATTATTTATTCAGAAAACATAATGACACTCTGAAAGGGGTTACTCTACATGACAAGTACTTTTAACATTGTAAGTAATACTTTGCAGTATTACATTTTTAAGGCACAACTTTTACTTATAAGTATTTTTAGTGTAGTTGTAGTATTTACCTAAGTAAAGGATACAAACATTTCTTCCTTCACTGCCCTACACATACTTTTTAAATCTGCCTCTTCTAGTGTCCATATGTTGGCTGCTGTAACACTGCACTGACATTAAGTCAAGTACTCTATCTGTCTATCTACATACCTGAATTCATGATCTGTACTAGGAGTAGCAATAATATTGTCTTTATGGGAATATGTGGGCTGTAGTGTGACACATCTGACACTAACAGAACATAGAGTGGACATGTCATGGACAAGAGCATTAGCAGGAACAGTATAATGCACCAGACCAGCTGCATCGAGTTAAATGTTGACTTAAGTTTGTCTGGTTGATATATGATGCATATTGAAGCCTGTTGACTCACTTGCTGGAATCAAGAACCTACATCCATAAACAGACAGTGACCGGGTTCAACAGTGTTTGATGGGAGGTCGTAATCATAAACAGCAAGAGGGCCACAAAACATCTCGAAGGGAGCTGTGAGGAAACCGGGGGTAATGGGGAGGTGGCAGTGGTTTGGGAGGAGGGAAGGGGTTAAGGGGAGGAGAGGCTGTGGCTAAAGGAAAGTGAAGAATAAGTGACGTGAAGGTGGAGGAGAGGTGATGACATGGCTGAGAGTGACAACTGAGGGGCACTGCAAAACATACAGTAAGATTCAAAACTTCAATATTTCAATGAGGCAGCTAGGATGAGGTTAAAATCTTTTGTATCGGTGTGGAGGATACGGTGTGATGTTGGACATTGGGGGATGTTTATAAGTTGTCAGAAATAGTTTGGTTATTGTTAATACATTGGTTATTGTGTTTCTGAGACAGTATGTTGTTATCATGGATGAATTTATCTTAGGAAGTTTGTGAAATCACATTTTATTGAAGGATCAAATGAATATTTTATATATTCAGTTCAATGCTTTCATGTAGCATCAGTAGTATCAAGGTTTATCAATATATACCCTGCTATATGTACTTTTACCCTACCTTATTCCTTTCTTCTTTCTGTTATTTAAATGCTGCCGTAATCTTTGTATGGTTTTAAGAAAAGCTTGAAACCTTGTCCTGAACAAATTACCGTGTACACTGCAGCTATTGGGAGTTAATTTGGGTGAAGTAGGACTCCTATACAGGTCTCTCCTCCGTCACCTGTCACAGCCAGCTACCATGTGGCCCTCTAGAGCACTTAACCGTTACTGGGTTTCCAAGACCACCAGCTAAATTAAGGGTGAGGCTGAAGAGGGGCTGAGTAAGAATCACAGCTACAACAAATAGTGCATAGTGGGTTTTTTAAAATCTTTTTACCTTGTTACTTCCTGTTGGGCTTTTTGGGAGAATATTTTTTAAGTTAGTCTTTTAACATTGTCGCTTTGTTTCTTGGTATAGCATGTTCTTCTAATGAAGGGCTGGTGGGAACAGCTGATGCATCTGTCAAATGACTTAAACGAGATGGGCGTAGTACTGTCCAGGTAAAGAGTTGTTTTTTTGTACTTGTAAAAATGTAAAACAGTGCATTGGAGAGTCATCATACATTGGTTTTGTGTTTAGTCTCCTGTAATGTTGCTGTATTCATGTCTTTAGATTGCACTTCTCTGTGTGTATGTATCTCTGTGTCAGAGTGAATAACAGTTGTAGAACTGCCTCCAGAGAGCCTGTCAACACATCCCAAACTGTGAGCAGCATCTGTGACAGGGAGGTCAATAGTACAGACAGTGACCATTCCTCCATAATACCTATTGGGAACAAAGGTAAAGGGAGTATTTTTACCTCCAACTCTCTCCGTCTTAACGCACAAAAAATGCTTTACACACACAACTACACACAGAGACATTTCTGCCTGCATACAGTGTGTGAGCCAGAGGAGGTGCTAGTTCCCGCTCTTCCAGAAACAGCTTGTGTAGAGCGAGGCTACATCACCCCACAGCAAGTATACAACCTGCTGAACGCAGAGGAAGGCCAGCCCGCCTTGTATGATCCTTATTATATTCTCATCCTGGACTGTCGCAGTGCAGAGAGGTGGGTCCTGCATGGTTGGTTTTAGTGTTTTCATGGAATTTTGTTGAATATAAAACAAATATAGAATATCGCCTACCTCATCTTTAAGGAAATGTATAATGCCATAGAAGAACATAGTGTAAAGTGGCTGTTGCAGTTATGATACATAATCTATATGTGTGTGGATATTTGTGAATTAATGTGTGTTTTAGGTACAAGGAAAGTCACGTGGTGACAGCACGGGCCGCTGTGACGGTGATCCACCCTGAGCTGGGCTGTCTGATCAGCTGTATAGAGCTGCAGAAGTATTCTATAATACTGCTGTATGCAGAGGAAGGATGCAGCCCAGGTCAGCGATACACATTCAGCTCTGAGGATACACACAAATACACTTATGTACTCTCACAAAAAGACAAAGAACATATTAATGAGATATCATTAATCCAGTAAAACATATTTTTTGCTATGTGGCATTATTCTAGAGATGGTGATCTTAGCCTGTTGGTCAGTTGATCCATCATTTCGGTCCAAACTGAAATATGTTAACAACTATTACATGGATTGCCATACAATTTTCCACAAACATTTAGGGTTCCCAGAGTTGGACTTTGGTGATCCCCTCACTTTTGCTCTAGCACCACCAGCAGGTCAACATTCTAGTTTGTCCAATAATTTGTTTCAGGATAAAGATAAATATCTGTAAAACTAATGACAATCCCATCAGCTTCAGCTGTACTTTGTGCCGACAGCAAATGTTAGATTGCTAACATGCTAAAAAATAAGATATTATATCTGCTTAGCATCAGCATGTTAGCACTGTACTGTAAGTACAGCCTCACAGAGCCATGGCTGTAGACTTAGGCTTGCTGAAAGCTACCTGGCTGTCTGGTTGTACTGATGTTTTCTCTCTGTCTGTGTTCTGTCACTGTTTCTATGTCTCTTCTCTGTGCTCAGTGGGCAGTGTGAAGGCCAGGACAGACTCCCCAGACCTACATCGCTGTTTCTTCCAGCTCAGTGCTTTGGGAATGGACCCTGTCATCCTGCTGGGGGGATATTCAGCCTTCAATGCCCTCTACCCTTTCCTCTGCACGCCCCGCATGGTCCTGCTGGAACCTGAGCGGCACACCCTCATCATCTACCCCTCAGAGATCCTGGAAGGAGCTCTCTACCAGGGCTCGGTCTCCCACGCCTCTGACTACCGCATAATCAAGAACCTACACATCACACATGTGGTCAATGCCACTGCCAACTGTCCTGATGCCTTCCCCAACACGCTGTGCTACTTGAGGCTGCGTCTGAGCGATGATTCCCAGCAGGACCTGGTGGAGGCACTGCCCCTGGCATCCAGGTTCATCAATGCTGCGCTGAAGGCTGAGCCTGCCGGACGCGTTCTGGTCCACTGTAGTCTGGGCAGGAGTCGCAGCTCAGCACTAACGCTGGCCTTCCTCATGCAGCATCGACGCTGGTCACTGCTCCATGCCCTGCGCTGGCTGAAGGAGAGAAGGGCATGCACGGCACCCAACGTGAACTTCCTGCGTCAGCTGCTGACCTATGAGGAGCAGCTGTTTGGGAGCAGACTTACCTCCCTGGACGACATCCGCCGATGACTGGAGTAAGAATGGGAATGGAAAGGAAGACACACGGGATGTTTTTTTTTTCTACAGTTCACATTGAGATTAAGTGTATAATATTTCTTTTTCTACAGTTCACATTGAGGAAAAATGTAAAATAAGACTGAACAGAGGTGGATTTTGTACTGCAAGAAAAAACATTTCCCATACAAGTTTGACAATAATCTTCAGCCCCCCCACACAGTGTTTCTTGCACTATGCCTCAATAATAACAATAATCATACAGATGTTTAACTTTGTGGCCTCTGTGTGACTCAGTATAATATAATCCCTGTTATGTCATTTTGCTTGGTGATAGTTGATAGAAGATATACATTGATTAATAAAGTGTATTTATAACGTTTTACATTAGAAAGGTTTCTTTTCTTCAATTTTGTTCCATGAGACGATGATATTCCGATTCTCTGAAGTCTGTGGTAGAACTGTATTCATGTGGAAAAGTATTTAAAAACTGAAAGGAGGCTGGCAAATCACCAGTGTTTATCAGACATACACAGCCTGTAGTGTTTACACAGGGCATGCTGTGAGATTTGTCTGAGTGAGATTTGTTGCATCTGGCATCTAAGAAATAGTGCAGTCAAGTTAACAGCTCCAGTGCTACTGACTCTCTCTCACACACACACTCTCTTAGCTCCACCCTGTTCAACTCAGTAGCATGCGGCAGGAATTCCTTCCCTCCAGTCACACATTTTGGTTGGGAGGGAGGAATTTTCTGGAATGTGGGAGAAATAGGAAGAGTCGACTGCAGGTGAAAATGGTGAACGGTAGTTAGTTTGGCCGAGTTAAACACTGCAAAACACACACACAACATCAGTTTTGAATGGAGATCTTGAACCTATCGTACATGCCTTGTCAAAGCTTTATATCAATGAATATATCGATTTTTTTAAATGGTGCGCACTGCAGCATGGACTAGAGAAAAACAAGAAAGCACATCTGAGATTTGCAACAAAATTCAACACGTGGCAGAGGGGGTGCCTTTAGGCTAGTAGACGCAATTTTTTAAGCTACAATAAAACCCAAAATACTCATCCGTGTCTGCCTCACCCCACGGGTCAAGACAACTAGACACCTCCCCTAGCAATTTACAAACGACAACCCCTAAAGTCTCTAGTAGCAGGAGGCTGTATGCATGTGAGAATCTGCACGTAGCATTCAGACTCAGGCTCTTAGAAAGCCAGCCCTAACCACCAGATGGCCAAGAGTGCACCGAAACATCACGGATAGGACGAAGCACCGGACAGACTCATCTTCCGACCGACCACTGCGCCTGAGTCCGCCTGAGCCGAGTCTTCACAGGAGCCGAATACCGGGGACACATTTCTACTACAGGTTGCTCTCGTTAGGGTAAATATTGACCCCCTGAGTCAGATAATACTGTGTAAAGATAGTCTTGACTTAAAAATAACTTTGTAGACTTTTCACGTTGCTATGTCAACGAGCAGTTATCGGGTGTTTTTTTTTTAAACCGTATGTTCCGTTTTCAGTTGCGACCGTTAATCACTGCGAACTTCTCTCGGTTATTCCATTAACTTAAGTTAGCCAGCTAGGCTAGCTGACGACTAGCTAACCAACCTGGAGGAAAACTTTGATAGGTGTGATGGTGTTTGAGCATATGACGAGGCTGAAGCGATTAATAGGGAGCTAAAATGACTAAAAATTCAGTCAGTCCTAGTCGAGAATAGCGAGAAAAGAAGAGTCTCCCCCCCCCTAATGAAAGCAGGTTAGCGTCAATGTTATGGAATTCCAGTGCAATGCAGCGTGGGATGCTGCTGCCGCCGCTGCCCCCAATACTGCTGAATATGTACACATTTAATTCGTTTAAGAGATTTCGGACATAAACGGCCACATTGTCTGCCATATTATACACGTCAGGCAGCCACTGTGTTAAAAAAAAAAAGAGGAAAAAAAGGCTAATATCCACTTGAAACTTTATTTTTACGTTATATTCGCGTTGGTTAGGTAATTATCCAAACTCGTTTGGGGGTAAACAAACAGCAGCAGCTGCCCTCTTGACATGACACAAAGCCATCTTGTCAGTCAGTTTGCGGGGGTTCCTGACGGGTGACTGCAGGTAAAGTGAGTCAGACTCCATTGAATGCTGCTCAGTCCTCACATGAGTTTCCCTCGGCGGGGAGGGGCGAAGACGTGGCAGTCCTCTTCCATCCACATCCTGTGTTATCTGACTCCACAGCTTCACTCCCTGTAAAACTTGGATAAGATAGTTGCGATGAGGCGAAGAAGCTGCTAGAATACAGTGCAGAATGAGAGGAGTCGTCTTACATCGGTTCATTACTGTGCTGGTTGCAGTGAGGCTTACACAGTTCATTCACAAATAAATATTTCACTCTTATTTGATATGGTTTTTAATGCTGCAGGGTTTTCCAGTTTTTTGTGATATTATACTATTATTTTTGTGATAGATACTAGAGGCTACAATTTTACTGTGGATAAATGTTTATGACATGACCAACAATTGGGTTTTTATTCACAGCTTCTTTGGTTCTTATGTCTTTTTTCTTCTTTAGACATTCATCATTTTGAAATATCATATTTTGAAAATGCGGTTTAGCTTTTCCGCCAAGGAAAAAAGTATTTCTGTTGTTTTGCTACTTCTTCTCTCCTTCATTTAAATTCCACAAGTGAAAGCAACTGGTTCAGTCCTGGCCTTCGGGGTTTGTCGAAAGTCATTTTAGACAACGTAGGAAACAGAAGAAGTGACAGGAAAACAGTAAATCCGTAAATGAATAACTCCTGGAATGCAGTCAACATCACAACTCAGTATCTATTAGTGTTGGACTTCCCTGTTAATGGGAGCTCTGTGATCTTATTTTCCCACAATTAACATGAGGCTGTGAGGTTAAAAGAGTCTCCTAATGAACGTGTCTGAACAGAAAGCAACCCAATTACACATATTTTAAGAGGTCAGAAGAAAGAAACAATTTTCAGGGAAATTATCTGCAAACTAGCTCTCTGACAAACCGCCTCACACGTGTCTGGCAGGTTAATTGGAGCGTCAGGAATGTTTTGGAGTCCTCAAATGTCACGTACACGTATGTACGTATGCACACTCTCACTACCACTCACTTTCATGTGTGGCCTGACACCTAGATTTAAATGATAACTGTTATACTTACAGCTTTAATCTCGACATTGCACTTCTACAACATTAGAACAAGAGAGGCGCAGTAGCTGTCACCCTGTTATTACAATAATTACATTATGCTGAGCTTTCATCCTGAACTCTCAGTGTGGCAGAGGCATATTTATGGTATTTTGGACTGAGTGGCACCACTTATTCTGGAAATACAGTAGTAACAGTCGGGGATAATGGTAATTTGCATATTGCCACGCAGTTTCTACTTAAATATACTTAGATTTGCATTTAATGTCATTTAATTTAGCTTTAATCCAATACAAAGAGCTCTGACAGACTTATTTCCCTTCCTCTCTGCTGCCTGCTGCTGAGCTGAGTTGAAATGTCATATAAGGTAATTCTTCTGGTTTCGCTGGCAGTGTTGTCCATGTGGCAAAGTGAGAACCTGCCTGGGCCTGTTGTCTCTCAGTGAAAGGCATTACAAATCTGCATAGATGCACCTTCCATGCATGACCTTTACTTTGCCACTGGGTTTATGTGTGTAAATGTGTGTGTAGCAAGCCTGAAGGTGTATGAGAGTATTTGCACGTATTCTCGTGTGTACACCTCTTGCATTAATGGCTTCATTTAAAAAAAACTACAACCATACATTTCAGTCCATATTTAGCTTTTATACAGTCGATAAAGATATTGGAAATTAAACATCTGTTTGTGTCCAGAGTCCCCTTTTATCCCTCTACCAAAGACAGAGCTTGATTAAGTATTTCTGAAGATAAGCAGCTAATTTAAGAAATCTAGAAACATAATCAAGGTAGGGCTGCAACTAATGATATTTTCATTTTCCATTAATCTTCCAATTATTTCCTTGATTAATTGTTTGTTTTATAAAACTATGATTTCCATATACAGAGCTTCAGACTTGTGTTGGAATATTTTCTTTCCACCACCGTACTCCAATCGTACTTCTTTTGTTAGTGGAATTGGAAGCATTTTTTATCATAAAGAGCTGCACAGAAGTTCAGCAAGGTTCAGCTTTTGCCATACTTTCAGTCCCGCTTGTTTGTTAACAGAATATCTCAAACATTTTCCAGCAAACCTAAATTAAGATTTGTGGAAAGATAGATCATTGGCCAAAGGATACGTGATGTGTTTTTGGTGCAGATCAGGATACATGTATCCCATGATGTCCATTGTTGTGTGTTTTTTGACCTGGATCCAAATCCAGATGCATTTTCTTTTTAAATTACACATTTCAAATAACAAAGATGTCATTGTCTTAGGCTACTGCTGCCATAACTACAGTATATAATGCATTCATTCATTCATAAGTCATTCACACCTTTCCATGACATTTCTTCAGATTTCTTTCCTGCTGGTCTGTCTTTGTTCTCTTCTTATTTCTGTCTGTATGGGTAGAAAGAAAGTGCCACTCCTTACAGGCCAGGAGCCCTGCAATACTTATGGCTGTGCCAACTCCAAAGCCAGACCGGACATGGTGGCAGCAGCCACAGAATTATTTTAGGCTTTGTGTGGTGGTTGTGAGGCTGCACTTCTAAATGGATTTGAAGAGATTCTCCCACCTATTAAATTCCAATGCTTTGATTAGTCTTTTTGCTTTACCTTTAGTTGCATCTGAATATATATTTTTAATTTCCATCTCTGTGTTTCCTAAACGGTCAGTTCATCCAAATCACAAAACAGAAAACACTATTTCCCACTTAACCCTAATAATATTGAACTATGCAGATAGTTTTAAATAACTGCTGCTGAGACTTTTGCTCACTCAACAGCAACATGCCAGAAAGAATGCCCCAGTTTCTCTGGACAATGGGAAAGTTAAACTACGCCCAGTTTGTCTGTGGAGAATCTGGTCTGAAATGGTGCTAAAAAACTGGTTTTGAATTCAGCTGGAGCAGCACTGGAGGGAGTAGAGGAGGGCAACAAGATAAGAGATCACACAGAGCC